TGTCCTGGCCTCCTTGCCCTTAAACTAAGAACCCCTTTAGGGGCCCAGCTCCGACCAGCCCTGGGCTGGGGAGAGGGTGGCAAGCGGACTTGGCCAGACACCTGCCTCCCCACCCACCCCAGGGGCGGTGGAAGGCAGCAGGATGAGAGTGAGGGCCAGACCTCTGAGCAGCCCGCCCAGGCAGCCCACCATGCCTGCCGGCCCCCACTCTCCGGCCATGTCGCGTGCCCCCCGCTCGCCTCACCCCCCTTCCCCAGCACACACGGCAGAGAACAGGCCCCGGCACGCGGGGAGCCAGCTGGCACCCAGTCAAACTAGCAGCCAGGCACGCTGCCAGGGCAGCCAGCCAGCAAACGCTGCCACTCGCCCAGCCCCGCCCACCCACCGGCCTTTACGCTCAGCTCAGAGCTCACAGCAGCAAGGCAGCCGCACCACGTGGCCTGTCCTGTCGGGGAGAGAGGCTGCAAAGGGCGGAGGGCAGGGGAACCCCATCGGAAGGGGATCCCAAGGCGGGGCAGCTGAACTGGAGATAGAGAAGGAGAGAGAGCAAGGGGGAGACAGAGGCACGGCCTGGAAGTGGATGGCCCCCAGCTGGGATCTGGCAGGTTGGGGTGCTCCCCCCGGGGCCGCTGCACCCCACACTCATCTTCAGTTGCGGGTAGGCCCCGCTCTCCCCAGCCCCGTGCGCAGAAGCCTGGGAGGGCGGCTTCTTTCCCCATGTCCTGCAACCACCTGTGTTTGCCTGCCACGCCCACAGCCCTGCCACGTGTGCCCTCCCCCAGGAGACTGTGGGCACGTCCAGCCTGAGGAAGTGCCGGGGGCACTTCAGGGCTAGGCGGGCGAACAGCTGACCCCTGGCCCTCAGAGCAGGCCTCAGAGGGAGGCCCCTCTTTCTGCTCAGGCTGCCCTTGCTGGCAGGATGGGGCAGGGGCTGGCGGGACTGGCACAGGCCAGGGTGTCGCCCCCACCTTGGCCCCCCACCCCATCGGCGGCCCTGGGGCTGGGGATGGGGCTGGGGCCGGGGCTGGGGCCGACAGCGGCAAGGCGCCCCGAAGGCCGCAGGCCGTGAGCACCCCCGCCGAGGCAGAGGTAGCATTGGCTCAGGGGAGGTGCGTGTCTGCGGGCCGTTGAGGGCGTTATCTGCAGGCTGCCTCCCAACCAACCCTCCCAGCAGCTCCCAGAGGGGCAGGACCTTCTCCCTGCGCCCCAGGGCAGGTGGTGCTGCCCACAAACTGCCCTCCCTGCAGGCAAGGTCCCCAGGGGTGGGCCAGAGGGGCAAGGGGCTATGAGCCTCCTGACGCAGAGCTGCCGCCACTCCCGGCCCGACCGGGAATACAGCCCGGCGGGCCCACGCACCTGCGGCGGGGCCGGGGCAGCAGCGGCGTTAGTTCGGTCGAGGTGGTCCCACTCGGCTGCTGAGGGCCTCCCCTGCCCGCCCCACAACACGGCTCCCTCCTTCCCCCGCAGACATCCTGGGAGCCAGATGCTCCTGCCAGAGCCAGGAGTTTGCCCGGCAGACACAGAAGGCGGGAGGGCTGGAAGGAGCTGGGGGCGGGCGTGCCAGGAGCTCGGCGGGGCCCACCCACGGCCGCCCAGGAAGCCTTGAACTGGCGCTCAGCACTGAGGCACCGTCTCCCCTCGGGGAGGGTGCCGAGAGTGCCGGCGGGAAGCAGGCAGCAGAAGTGACACTGGGCCAGGGACCCTGCTCTGCCCGCCTGGGTCCTCGGGGCCGCCCGGCCTCTCCTCCACCGGGGAAGAGAGCTGCTCCTTATCACCGGCCCAACATGTGTGCTCTGCACGGCGCTTAAAGCCCAGATTATTTTAACAACTGTCCCTCACTCGTCACCTGTCCTGTTTGGAAAACAGCCCCTTTCTTGTCGCACAAAGAGGTTTCTCTCGCTCTCCAGCAGCGCTGGGCGCTAATCTCCGGCCTGGAACTCAGGCGGCAGCGGGCACGGTGTGTGGGTCCGCGTGCTCTGCAAACACAACGCCCGCCGCCCAGCAGTCATTGAGTTACGGCGGTGCGGTGCCGGTGCCAGGAGCAGAGAGCCCTCTGTGCCTGCTGCCAACTGCAATTACCTCTCCGCGTGCCAGCCGCCGCCGGGCTTAACCCTTTCCACACTGGGGCGCTGGGCAGCCGAGTGGATACCGGCAACCGCGGGCCGGGGGCGCAGCCCACATCACAGTGCCGAGGGGGCTGAGCGGACAGTGGGGAGCTGCGGGGTGCCTCTCCCTGGGAAAGCCAAGGGGAGCCCTGGAGTCCTAGCAGTGCCTGCAAGGGCCCTTAGGCCAGCCATGAGGCCTGAGAGGGACGCATATGAAGCACCTACTGTGTGCGCAAGACTGTGACCCACGGGGAGGCAGGGGCCTGGGAGGGACACTGGTGCAGGCCAGGCCCCCAGGGTGGCAGCCTAAGCGTGCTGACAGCTCTCTCCTCCCCACCCCTCCCTCCCAGCTCGCACATCTGGAGCCCGTGCCTCCTCAAGTCTGGGAGGTGGGTACAGCCCACAGCGGAGGGCACAGCCCCGTCCGGCCGGCCCAGCTGTGTTCCACATTTCCTCGGCTCCCCAGAGCCCTCCCGGCCCCACCCCCTTCTTCCCTCTCTGCCCATCTGTGGTGCACGTCTGGCCAGGATCACTGCCTCACAGGGTCCGCCCACTGTTTCCAACCAATTACCACCTCCCCCTTGGGGGCTTCCTTGACGGGGAGGCAGCCCCTTGCCGGAGTGCTTGGCAGGGTCGGCCAGCTGGCTCTTGCGTGCCATGGCGGGGGAGCCCTTGGCCTCACCCCTGGCCGCGGGCACAATGGTCAGTGACTCCAGTTGCAGGCCGCTGCTGGGAGCCCGGGCCCTGGACTTACCTTCGTGGGAGTGGGAGAACCAGATCTGGGAGGTGGCGGGGTGGGAGCCGCGGTAGGCCTGCTCCGAGGGAGAGGGGGTGGGGCCGCTGGGGTGCGTGGAGGCCGCCGAGCCCAGGCTGCTGGTGAGGAAACTGCCCATGAAAGACGAGGCCGGAGAGCTCCCCATCAGGCGGCTGCTGGCTGTGGACAAGGGGGCCAGAGTGAGTCTGCGCAGGGACAGCTCCCACCAAGGAGCCAGCCCCTCTCCAGGGCTAATCTCAGGTCCCAAGCTCCCCGGGTTTGTCTTCAAACAGGCAGGAAGCCAAGGTGGGAAAAGCCGCCCTCTCAGACCCCAGACAGTCGCGGTCAGGGCCCAGAGGTCCTGGCACCCTCCTGTTGCTGCAAAACCCCCAAGAATGGCACTTCCGCTGCTACCACGAGGCCCACCTTCACCCCCACCCCCATCAACCAGGTGCCAGGTGCCAGGTGCCATCCGGAATAAACATCCAGGGCCCCAGGGCGTGCGGGGAACAGGCAGCCCTGTGGGTGAGTGTCTCGGGGGCAGACCCCTGACCCCACCAGGCCAAGGCTGTGGAGACTCTGAGACCTCTTAGCCGGCGGCAGACCTGCCAGAGAGATTTGCCCATACCTCCCCAGAAAGTCTGGGGTCAGCAGGACCCAGCCAGGGGCCCCGCCCCACCCTGTGGGCCCAGTGGTCTCTGCCCACCCCCTGGATAGCACTGGGGGGTGGCCTTTCCCCACAGTAGGGTCTTCAACCTTCTCCCAAGTGTGGTTAACCGACTCAGCAGACTAGAGGACCCTATCCCAGGTGAGTGGGAGGAGAAACTGAGGCAGAGCAGAGGAAGGGACAGGAGGAGCCTGAGGAAGCTAAGGATCTGCTTTTAAAGCCCCCAGGGATTCTCAGGGTCGGGCCCTGACCAGCAACATCCAGACACGGGCAGCCAGCCTCCACAGCCTGCCCACTGGCACCCTCAGACGCTGTGTCCCTTCTCTGCCCAAGTCCAGTGGCCAAGAGTTACCATGGCGACTGGTGATTGCACCGGAAGGACACAGGCACACGCAGAGCGCCTGGTGGGTGGTCTGGGCTGCACTGCTCAGCCCCACCCTGGCAGGGCCCCCTGGCACCTTGTCACCTCCACTCCATGGGCAGCGAGCCTGGCTTGGACCTTCCTGGGGGATGAGGAGCAGGGACCTGGGGGCCTGCCATCCCCTCAGGCCCGATGTCGGGGCCTGGCAGGGTCTGCAGGGCTTCTATGGTCCCAGGAGGCTGCAGGCCCAGCCCGAGGTGAGTCAGGGCCACTGTTCCCTGCCCAGGAGGCAGGGGGAATTTGTGAATTTGTGATGCCTCACCCAGCCTGGCTTGGCCCTGAGAGCTTCCCAGACAAGGGGTGACTCAGCAGAGAGGCGGCAAGGCCCTGGAGCAGGGGAGAGGGAGGGGCTGTCCCGGCCGGGACCCTGGCAGCTCCCCTCCCCACCCCTCCGTGTGTGAATGGGCCCTGTGGATAAGGGGGGCCTCTCCCGGACACGGGCCTCAGAGGCAGGGTCTGTGAGCCCTGGCTGGGCACTGGGGTGTCAGCTGACCTCTCTGGCGGGGGTCAGGCCAAAGGGAGACCGAGAGGACCGAGGGGCAGGGGGCGAAGGTGCCCAGGAGCCAGGGACTTCCCGGACCGCAGGGCTGGGACTGCCATGGGTCCTGGCCAGACCACAGGCACATCCAGCCAGGGGAGGGGACTCTGGGCTGGGAAGGGAAGTACTGGCCTCTCGGGCCGGCGGGTGGAGCAGGCGGGAGACGGAGGGCAGCCTCTGCTGGGCTCCAGGGACCCTGGGGGAGCCATGCCTGTGGGATGAGTGAGGCCTCTTCCTGCCTCGCCCAGGCCCACTCCATGTCCCCCAGGCCTTCCCACCCCCGCACCCTCCCAGGGAAGTCCCTCCGCCCAGCTCCTCCGGGGGATAGTGGGAAGCAACCAAGTCCAGCAGTTGGTCTGGATAAAGGATTTCTCTGGGAGCAGGGCCTGAGAACCTTGTGCTCTCCCACACCGCAGCGGGCGGGGGCGGGGCCAGGCCCCAGGCCGGGCGGGAGAAACAGACGGCATCCCAAAGGGCCATCCGGCCAGAGGAGCCAGGAAAACCCAGGCTCCGGCAGCCCCTCACAGGGCCTCCATGCCTGAGGGCCCTGCAGGGAGGGGCGGCAGGCCACCTCTGCAGACCCACTGCCCACACCCCTGAGGGCCACCCACCTGGGGCTGGGGCAGGGGGGAAGCAGGCCGAAGCCCAGCAGGATGTCTGATCCTGGTCCCCTACGCTGGAATCCAGATGGGGGCGGGGAAGCCGTGGGACACCTTCCCCTGGCCCCAGGAGGCGGATCCTGGCCTCGAGTGGGGACTCTCAGGAGTGCCTGTTTTGACACCATCCCAGAAGGGGGTCCCACAGCGCGGGAGCTGTGGGAAAGCAGCACTGCAGTTCAGCCAGCCCCAGTCCTGGCTCCGCAGGGGCACACCGGTGGCAGGCTGTGCTTCCTGCTACGCGCCAGCCTGTCTCTCAGCGCGGGGGGCGGCTCTTGGGGTGCTTCCAGAGTCCATGAGGAAGGCACCCTTGTCCCCGAGTGTGGGAAATGAGCCGGGGGGATGGTGCTCCAGCCCTGCCCCGCCCCGTCCCCTGGTCTCGGTCCCAGGCTCCCCAGGCCCCCCTTTGCTCAGGGCCTTCACAGCTGCCCCTGACACTCCACATCTCCCAGGCTCTCAGGCAGCCTGCAGGGCCCAAGGGTCCTTCATCGGGGGTCTTCTCCCTCGTTTTTCCTTTCATATCAAAAACAGAAGAACCTGGTCACATAAATATTACATATCTACACCTTCGCTACAAAACACACAAGGAAGGAAGCGGAGCTCACGGGAGCCCACTGCCCCGGGGCACAGCCACCGAGTGCTGGGGCCACCCTCCAGGCACTGGTGCATTTGCCCTGATGTTGCGCCACTGCCTCTTGGGGGGAGACCTGTGCAGGTACCCAGGTGGCCTCTCCCTCCTGAAACCACGGCCCACGGCAGCAAGTCCTGCCTGGGACTCTCACAGTCCCTGAGCAGCGGGACAGCCCGGGTGGACAGACACCGGGCAAGTGGAGCTCCGTGATCCTTGCCCCGCTGTCCTGAGCCAGAAGTTCGGTCCCACAGGCCTTGCCAGGTGGGCACTGCTGTGCCGGGGGATGGAGAGGGGGCTGCTGGCACCTGGAGCCTCCCTGAGCCCAGCCAGCCCCTGACCCTCGGACAGAGTGTCCAGGTTCTGATGTCACCTCCACCTCCAAACCGTTCGGCAATGGCGCTGTGCCCAGCCAGCAGAGGCGCAGGCAGGCCTGGTTGCCACCTCTCCAGCCCCCGCCTGCCGCCCGGTAGCCAGCCCCAGACAGAGCCTGAGCAGAGGCGGCCTGGGCCCCGGCCAGGGCTGGAGCCGCGCAGCCAAGTCTGGCCGGGAACTGGGCTGGAGGCTTCTTTCCTCTTGGCAAGGTCCTTGCCCACGGAGTGCTGCGGTCAGCGGGCCGGGAGGGGACAGTGGGAGCCCCAAGCAGCAGGGAGGACCAGAGGGGCTCTCTGCCTGGAGCCCCTGGGCTGGGAGCCCCGATCCTGGCACCGTCTGCGCTAGCCCTTCTCACGGGAGGCACTTTGCCGACCTTGTACTAATCCAGGTCACCACATCCCAGGTGGTGGGCCCACCACGGGGCTGACAAAGAAATGGGCACCATTAGTGCCAGCCCCGCAGCCCCGGGTGCCCAGGCTGGGGTTCGGATGAGGCCTGTCCATCCAAGGCTGCCCTGGGCTCTCCAGTGAGCATGCCCGTGGTGGCCAGTGCCCTGCATTATCTACGGACGCTCATCCCAGCCACCTGGCACAAGTTTAGTGCCACCTTGGGACAGGGACGTGAATGCTGGGTGAGGTGACAGCAGGGCCACCGAGGGAGGCCACTCGGTGTGGGACACCAGCCCCCAGCCAGTCATCCCCACTGCCCGGCCGGCCCAGGCCAGGGTTTGCGGCCCCAGACACAGGGCTCCAGCCCCAGCTCCAGGGCCGCCTCAGCTGTGCCCAGGACACCACGGAGGCCTGGCCCGGGTGCCCAGCTGGCTGAGAAAATCGCTCCGGAAGCCAGAATGCCCGGGAGGGCTGGCTGACACCCCCA